ACACCCTCTCAACCTGTCTTACAACAGCAAAATTGCATAAATAACACGAAAATAAATCGGCAAGATGAAAAGTGTTACAATGATGTGAATTATATTAAAATCACCAAGAAATTAACAAAAAAATGCCACAAAATTGGATGAAATAATTGAAGATGGGTTCGAAGATATTAAACGATATTCAAAATGATCTCAAACTCCTGATAACTTCGTTAACAGGATTCGAGGTAAATAAATAGACCGTGTACACCTATTTATCCTGTATTTCTGCAATTAGTTAATCGAAGATACAGAATAAAGATAATTAATATTTTGTTAGGAGGCAGATGAAGGTTACCAGTTATGCGAACGGTACGTGTTCTCAAATATGAAACATCATCGGTTCCTTTCCATCAACAGTCATGCAGTAAAACGAACGATCAACGAAGTCGAGGAGAAATTTCAAATCTATGGAAAGTACAATGTTGCACGAGAGTTCAAAAGCCTCGTGGATAATTTTCTCACGAGCTTCGACTTCGAGCAACATCCACAGTATGACCTCCAGTGGTCCCTCCTTTGCCTTCTATTAAATCTCTCCCGAGATACCACAAAATCGGAGATCGACTGTCTTCACACGACAAAAGTTGAGAAAACCCTGACATCTTCATTCTTGGAGGAGGTAGATGAGATCGACTGGGGGGAGCACCTCAAAGAGGGTCAAGAAAATTTCTTTTCTAATTACGCAAGTAGTTCGGACTCCGAGTGGAGTGACGACGAGAACGAGAAAGTCTCAACACCCTTGACAAATACAGAAAAGCCAGTAAAATTGCTGAATGAATCATCGGGTATTGCTCTCTTGGAACCTCCACATCTCCTTCAAACCCCAAAAACTCCATCCGTCTTTCAATTAGCCATAGAATCTCGTGATTGGCTGGATTCCAATGTCGAGAACACCTGGTGGAACACTTTAAACAGTTATGAGCTGAAGCCTCGCTCAAATTTTCCTCAGGCGTATCTCTGCAAAATTTA